GCTGAGGCAAGAGAATCGCTTAAGCCCAGGAGTTGGAGGTTGCTGTGAGCTGTGACACCATAGTACTCTACCGGAGGTGATAAAGTGAGACTCTGTCTCTAGAAAAAAAAAAGTCAAAAATACTTTTAAAAAAACTTGAAAAGCTAATTTTATGGAAAATCTGGAAGAAAATTATAGAACAGCTAAGAAAGTAAACTAAAAAAATAAATACAGGCTCAGCGCCTGTAGCTCAGTGAGTAAGGGCACCAGCCACACACACCGAGGGTAGCAGGTTTGAGCCTGGCCCAAGCCTGCTGAACAATGACAACTGCAACCAAAAATAGCTGGATATTGTGGTGGTGGGTGCCTATAGTCCCAGCTACTTGGGATGAGGCAAGAGAATCGCTTAAGCCCAAGAGTTTGAGCTTGCTATGAAGTGTGACGCCATGGCACTCTACCAAGGGCAACATAGTGAGACTCTGTCTCAGTAAAAATAAAATAATAAAAAAAATGAAATAGGACAGCACCTGCGGCTCAGTGAGTAGGGCGCTGGCCCCAGATACCGAGGGTGGTGGATTCGAACCCAGCCCTGGTCAGCTAAAACAGCAGTGGCAAATGCAAGAAAAAATAGCCAGGCATTATGGTGGGTACCTGTAATCCCAGCTACTTGGGAGGCTGAGGCAAGAGAATCACTTAAGCCCAAGAGTTGGAGGTTGCTGTGAGCTATAACACCATGGCACTCTACTGAGTGCAAAAGAGTAAGACTCTGTCTCAAAAAAAGAAATAAAATAAATACATATAGCCACAGTGTGATCCAATTTAGGGAATATACATACATATATTCTCTGCAACAACACCTATGAGAAAACAACCATGCCATGCTGCACTTAAATGGTCTGAATTTTTCCCAGTGACTACAGAGGAAGGCAAGAGGGTTCACAGTATTAAAGACCAGTATATATAAAGATGATTTGAAATACTATGCCCACCTAGATAAACTTGGAAAACATTATGCTCGGTGAAAGAGGCCAGGCACAAAAGACCACACACTATATGATTCCACATATATGAAATGTCCAGAATAGTCAAATCTATAGAGACAGAAAGCAGATTCATGGTTGCCAAGTGGTAGGGGAAAGGGATGGGGAGTGTATGCTCATTGGGATGGGTTTCTCTTTGAGGTGATGAAAACATTCTAGAGTTAGAGGCGATGGTTGTAAAATCTTAGAAATGTATTAAAAACCACTGAAATGTTCACTTTAACTGTGTGATTCGTATGGTATGTGAATTACATTCCAATAAAATTGCAAAATACTATAGTACCACAATCCCTGACCTTTAGCATTTCTGTTAGGGATAGAACAGATCAATATTTACTATGTAATTATACCATTTTCCCAGGTACTATAAAAGTTTCAATTCTCCCCTGTTCAAAACATCAAAAATAGGGCATAAACAAAAAAAAACAAAGTAAACAAAACAAATTTACTATGCAATATGATTTACAGAAATCATATTACTGAGGATCTCATGCTATTCTCCAGTGGCTTTATCTGTCTCTGTGACAATGTACGCATGGATTAGTGAACAAAACTGTTTCTAATGCCATGACCTCATAAGGTATGAACAGGAAATTTCATCTCACCAGAGCTGGAACAATGCTCTAGCACTGCACGAGGCTCCATGGTAGAGGTAGAGGCCGTGGGGAGGAGGTCTGACGTCGATGTCGATGGCTGTGGTTCCTCAAAGCACATCTGAGTGGTGGGCGACAATGATGCGACCTGGGGATCATCACCGCACCCTGCACCTGAGGTATCTTTGGTCATGTGGAACACATTTTCTTTATTAGCTTCTGTAACCACAAAAGGAGAAGTAACACTTAGGGCTCCAATGGACACCACTACTTCAGTTGAGACACTCCAGAATACTAAAGGACTTTTTAATCTTTTTTTTTTTTTGAGACAGAGTCTCACTCTGTTGCCCTAGGTTAGAGTGCCAGGACGTCACAGCTCACAGCAACCTCAAACTCCTGGGCTTAAGCAATCTTCTTGCCTCAGCCTCCCTGAGTAGCTGGGACTACAGGTATATGCCATCATGTCTGGCTAGTTTTTCTATATTTTTTAGCAGAGACCGAGTCTCATTCTTACTCAGGCTGGTCTCAAATTCCTGAGCTCAGGAATCCACCCACCATGGCTTCCCAGAGTACTAGGATTACAGATGTGAACTACCATGCCCAGCCAGCTTTTTTCTTAAGAATTCAACAGCCCTTAATATGCATCCACTTCTTTGCAATTATCTTACTTACCAAGGGAATCTTGTGTCATGCTTTGCTTTTCATTTAAAGATTCATAGAGGTATGCCACATCTAAAAGGACATGAAGCAAATCAGAGAAGCAGTGGCCATGTGAAATTAGAGTTCATTTTTCTCCTGTTCCCTCCAGCCCATTTGTTTTTATTTTCACTCATTGGCTATTAATAATATTCACCAGCTTAAGAAATTTCAAAATAAGTGATCCAAAGCATCTTTATCAACTTAAAATAAATGAGCCCCAGGAAAAAATGGCATCAAGAGGTATGCTGAGGTGAAGAATACATGCCTTGCCTATAATTTCAAACTACCAAAAGGAAGAGGTATAGGATCTTTCCTTGTGGCAGGGGGCTGATTTTGATTATGCTGAAGATGACCAAAGAAATATGCACCCCTTCTTCCTCTTCCTTACCACTGTGGTCTTTAAATATTTCAAGACTCCCATAGCCCTCCTTGTCCTATATCATTCTTCTACAAACAAAAACAGACTCCTGGAGCTGAAAAAGTCCCACTGGAATCCAGTCTAACTTTTGCTGTCTCTTGTGAAGTCTCCAAAACCATAACCATCCATGGCCTCCAGGCCTCTGGTCCTAGGTTTTTATTCCCCAAGAACTCAAAATTCCTTTATGATGTGACCTAACCCACCACCACTCCTTTTCCTTTGCTACCCTTTAAGATTCATGCTTATGACCACAGTGGTGTTCCTGAAGAATGCTGGGGCTCAGAGCACACTCCCATTCTCAACAGATACTATGGACCCCAAGAATCCATGTAGACAGCAAAGGGAATACAGCCAACAGCGATACTCCTGTAGGAAGCATCTGGAGGTGCTTCTGGCCTCAGCAGGACTGCCCCATAGCACACCCTTGTGTGTGTCTAACCCTGGGAAGTCTCCTCTCTTACTTTGTTCTGGCTCATTCTTCCTGTACACCAAGTAGATGACATCCCCCGTCTGTAAAAGGCAAGTCTGCTTCTTAACAATTTTCAGCTTGTTAATTACTGTTCCATTAGTGCTGTAATAAAAAAAAAAAAAAAGGCCATTTATTTACCCTACTTAAAATAGTTTGAGTTAAATTTTTTTCTACCATGATTAGGAAAACAGCTCAACATTTCTGTTCTGAAGATACGCCACAGGAGAAATGCAAATGCAGGAGGACCTCTATAAGCTGATTACCCAGGGACTGCAACAAACTGGTCATGATACAAAGGTGATCACAAGGAATGAGGCCTACTGTACTGATAGATATGTGTGGTGCATGTCCAATCTGTGAAAAGCAGGTCAACTTGAGGAGGTGGTCAGTATAGGGAAGTGGTCAGATATGGAGGTTCTACTATATTTAACAACACACTTATGCAAATATGACCTTACAATTCTCTTGAGAAGAAACTTAACTGTTACTCCCTTCTGACTACTTAACTAGCATGCGAACTGCCTACCTAGTGTCTTAGCACTACAGTTCCAATGCCAGGGTCTCTTCCACCTGCCTCCTGTCAGATCTGAAGTCCTCACCAGCAGCACTGTGTTTCCACTTCCAACCTTGCTTAGGCTATGCATGCTCAATTTTGTCCACACATCCACTCCCACCAGCAGGCACAACTCCAGTCAAGTTCATTCCTCAAGTAAGTACTGATTTCTCCTGAGAGATGGGCACCAGGATGGACAATAAATGCTGGGCCATTGCCTAGAAGATGACATGGCCCTGTGCTCAAAACATGTGGTATGACTGCCAATGCTGGGTAACTGACAGTGACCACTATGCTAGGGGGAGGGACTTCTGAATGGAGACCTAATGAAACACTTGTGACAAACGAAGAGTACAGCACAGCCAACAAACAACACTTGGCAACCGGGTGGCCACCCTAATTCCAGTCACTCTCACCACCACAGGTCTCAGCTCTACAGCCACTCCTGTACCCTGGTGAAGAGTATTTCCTGATCCATGCCAGTCCCCTGGGGTCAGAGGCCACAAACATTTTCTGTGAAGGGCCAGGTAGTAAACTGTTTAGGCCTTATAGTCATTTGGTCTCCGCCATAACTACTCAACTCCGCCACTGTGGCAGGAAAGCAGCCAGAGACAACATGCGAATGATCATGGCTGTGTCCCAGTAAAACACACAGAACCAGGTGGCAACAGCCATAGTTTGCTGACTTTAGCTATCATAATACACAGCCGATCCTCAAACCACACATGGGTCAAAAATTCAGCATTGGGACCTGAGTTGTATGAACTTGGGACCTGAGTTGTATGAAAGCCATCTTTTCAGAGACATGTGTTCTGCAGGGCCCATTACAGAGCTTCAGTATGTGGGTTTGAAGGTCCTGGGGCCAATCCCTGTGTACATCAAGAGACAACTACAGTCAGGACCTCTGTTATCATGCTTCTACTTGTGATCCACTCTTACACTCTTTCTATATAAAAAAGCTGATTATTAGGCGGCACCTGTGGCTCAGTGAGTAGGGCACTGGTCCCATATACCAAGGTTGACGTATTCAAAGCTGGCCCCGGCTGAACTACAACCAAAAAATAGCCAGGCATTGTGGCAGGCGCCTGTAGTCCCAGCTACTTGGGAGGCTGAGGCAAGAGAATTGCTTAAGCCCAAGAGTTTGAGGTTGC